CTATCCTTCGTTGCAGGCATTGTGCCGCTCATGCGTCCGTTTCTGGGAGCCCTGTGGGCAGTGCTTGCCACAACGAATGACGGTTCCAATTTTAGAACCAGAAATGTTGTGCACACTCGCCGCATAAGGCACGCCCTAGAATGGATCAGAGCCGTGCTGGAGGGAAAACAGACTCCGCTGGTGCGCACTCTTCGGGCGTTCCGTCCGACCTCGGGAGTGATCATCATCCTTACGGATGCCTCCACGTGGGGATTGGATGCAGTTATGTTGGAGCAAGGTGAACCCAAAGAATTCTTTTCGTGTCCTATCCCACCGGAATTCATCCTCCGAACTGGGGCAATCCCTGGCATCCCGAAACACATGACTCTCTGGGAAGCATTGTGCCTACTTTTAGCCGCTCGGACGTGGCTCACCAAACACCCGATTGGGTCAGTGGTACGTGTCAAGGCGGACAACATTGGCGCCCTCTACCTCATTGCAAAGGGCAAAGCCAGCTCCCCAGAACTGTCGATGGTCGCCAGGGAGATAGCACTGGACCAAGCGAACGAGAAATACGATACTCCAACACATCAACACCAAGCTGAACAAGACTGCAGACCCTCTCAGTCGACAACATGACCCCAATCCTCCACCTTTTCCTGAGAACCTTCAGGGCGCAACACGCGTTCCCATTGAAGTAGGTCCTGAGTTTTGGCTTCTCCCCGAGACCGCTCAAACCCTTCGAAGAGAAAAGCGCAGGAGTCCGTTGTGTGCTTGGTCAAACCCACACACATATAAACAAAACGGGTCAAACAGCTCCTAAAGCGGATCGTACTCAAGAAATTTAGTGGCGGACGTGATAGGGATGGCTCAAGCATGAAACGCTCTTTGGGTCCCTCACGTTTCCTGTACGATCCAAAGAGGCCAGAAGTCCAGGCTCCACCGAAAGGTTTGCGGCCATTGGACGAAGGCCCGGTGGTTTGTCACGCACCACCAAGCCATGGCACAACCACGCAGGAGGAGAGCCACCGTCTGGAGGCAAAACCTTACTCCAGGGGCTCCCTGAAGTTGGCTATTCACGAAGCAACTCTGCACCCAAACGAGTGCGCAGAGCACATCGGAAAGCGAGCCAAAGCTGAATCATCGCGTTTGCCCATTCAATCTAAAGAGAAAACCTGGGCGGCAATAGCGTCGGCAGCTGGATTCTCGACACCGTTCGCGCTCACACCTCAGCTCATCTTCACAGTGACAGGGGCATTAGACAAAGCGGGATATCGCTCGACAGAACAGTATCTGGAAACTGCCCGCCAAGCTCATATCAGCGCAGGACACGCGTGGACACAACAGCTCAACCTGGCGGCAAAACAAGCCAAGCGAGCTTGTCAGCGCGGCCGCGGGCCTGCCAAGCAAGCCCAACCCCTGCCAATGAAGGAACTGGCAGCACTACAGCACACCGAGCCGGCTGTTGCACCTGGGGGCCCAGCTTTTCCTGTCCGGGCAACATTGCTGGCATCGTGGTGGCTCCTTCGAGAAATCGAAGCAAGCTATGCCAATGTGTCCCACGTCACGGTGGATGACAGCACTGGTCTGATACACTGGAAACTTCCATCTAGCAAAGCAGACTGGAAAGCTCTGGGAGCCGTCAGAACTCACATGTGCACGTGCAGTGAAAAGAGCAAAGACCGCCTATGTCCCTTTCACCTCATGTCTGCCCAAGTTGAATGGTGCAAACGCCACGGTTTTCTTCACCTCCTACCACAACCGGACGGGTCTACATCGACCAAAGCCGGCTGGGCCGACACGTTTGAGCATTTGGGCAAACAGCTCAAACTTCCCATCCTCACGGACACAGGCCTTAGGACGTTTACCGGTCATTCGGCCAGAGCCACAGGTGCCATACACCTTGCACATACGCACACTGAACTGTGGCGTATACAGCTCTTTGGTTGATGGGGATCGGATTGCTTCCTTCGATACGTCCGAGAAGCACCGCTATCTCAATTGTTTGGCCTCGCACAGGAGGCCACCTTGCAGACTTCCCTGGCAGCTGCAAGAGCCGAACTCGCGGCCATTCTTGCCAAAGTGCCGGATTCTGCAAATCGCACGGCTACAACAGACTTCACCGCGCAAAAGATTGAAGTCTTAGCCGATTGCGAAGCCGCAAACACTTTGGTACCTGACGTACCTGTGCCAGCATGCCCTTTGTTCGTCGTAAACCTTGCTCCGGACGGGAAGGTTCACAAAGTGGGTCGCTCAGGTCCGCACCTGCCCCACTACTTATGGCGAGCTGCATGTTCTTGGCCGTTTGCCAGGCACCACGCCGACTACGATCTCACGGACACACGTCCCACAGATCGCAAGTTGTGCGCTAAATGTTTTAAACTCCCAAAGACAAAGGAGTCAGACGAAGAGTCCTCCTCCTCTTCTTCGTCCTCGTCAGAGTCATGCGCTCCGCAAGTTGGATCAGATGGGCAGTGACTCAGTATGAGGAAGCTTGACACCACAGAGTTTGGGAAGCTGAAAGTGTCCCTTAGCTGTGGTGTGACTCTACTGCCCAACATCTTACAAAAGGTGCGATCCCACTCTGACGCCTTTGTTTCTGGTTGTGATGAAGATGTCAATTGTTGTGTGTAACAAAGAAATTGTGAAAGTAACAATAGACACAATCAGAAGGGGAGTTGTGGGAGGGACTTACCATCCGCAGCTCGTTTGGGCCATTTTGGCTCAAGAGCCTGTGGGGTTTGATCCTTTCCGTTTTCCCACCCACCCACACCTGATGGGATTGGACGGGAGGAAGCTTGACACCACAGAGTTTGGGAAGCTGAAAGTGTCCCTTAGCTGTGGTGTGACTCTACTGCCCAACATCTTACAAAAGGTGCGATCCGACTCTGCCGCCTTTGTTTCTGCTTCTGATGAAGATGTCAATTGTTTAACTAGGGTAGACTAGAGGGAAAGAGAAGCCTTCTGTTTAGCTATGGAGCGAGACTAACGAATCGCTCCATGAGAGTAGACAAAGAAAAGGGAACCGACAGACAAGTCTGAACATAAGAATCACCCACTAGACTAGAGCA